AAAGAAAGAACACAATAATTACAACAACGGATTTACGTGCACAACAAAACAAAATTAAATTATGTTATGAAATATTTAAAAAAAGCAAAATATTAAATTACTACAGACTTTATAAATACTTAAAATGTAATTTGAAATTTCTCACGAGCTTTTCGGTGAAGGAAAACATCGTAATGAAACCTGCACGTTGAAGGAGGTTCACAACCCTCGAAAAACGTGTGAAGTCGCCAACTTGCATTGGGCTAACGTGGCGGACTATGGCCTAAACCCTGAAAGGAAACCCGTGCCCATAAGTGGGACGTATAAATGGGTTGATAATTATAAATACTTAGATAACTATGTATTTCATATTATAATATCAGAACAGAGGATAAATAGCGCTCCTTGACTCTCCCTCTGAAATATAGCTGAAGATTTATTATCATGAACAGTAATGGGAAGTGCGTTCTAAAGTCTGACCGCATGAGCATTAAAGAAGTGAGAATAAAAACAGGAATTGAATGGAAAAGATAACTGGAACTGAAAAAAATGTCTATTCGAGAATATGTCGCTCACTGTAGGGCCAGCACGAAAGGGCGCGACTTGCGCGAGAGCGACATAAAGCGCGATATACTGCTGTTATCATGCGAGATCTCGCACTTTATGGCGCTCTCGCGGAAGTCGCGTCTTATCGTGCTAGCGCTACTGGTAAGGTGACAGTGCTACCCTGGGCGAACTCTTTCACAATGAACTACTGCTACTAAACAAGAAACTCTATCACTACATAATGAAACCTACGATAGACGATTTCTCTGTCATCTCATGCTTTGAGTAACGCCATAGTCCATAGAGATAATAAAGGAACCTCGGCGCGCGCGAGTGTTACCTATTTGCCGTCACGTTAAGCCTACTGCTCAATGATTAGTAGCGTGCTTAAAAAAATTGCACGGAAGAGATCGTTGTCCGCCGATTGTATCTTTCATATTCTTCGTATTGTCGTTATCTATTTTGTGATCACATGTGGCGTTGTTATACCAAGGGTATGACTAGATAAGGATATGAAGACCGAAAGCTTTACTCGTGCT